GATCGTCAAAGAAACATTTTGTTGCTTCCTTGTAAACATTTATGTCTGTGTACCATTTGTAAAGATGTACTTATGAGATCATTGATTAATCAAAGGAAATGTCCTCTTTGTCGTGAAGCTATTAACAATTGTACAGATGTTTATTTATAGAAGTATGTTTGTAGATGTTATGAACTGACTTTTACTGAATATTATTTATACAATCATTTATTTTTATCATTAGCATAAAGATTGCAAAAGTTTAGTTTGCTAATAAATTTTTAAACAAATGTAAAAGTTTTTAATTACAATACTTTTAAGGTTCTTTTAAGGTACTATTTACAATACTTTTAAGGTTCTTTTTTTTTAATGTGTGTATATATTGTCTTAAATGATAACAATGCTGTAATAAATCTATTATTAAATCAAAAACGATTTCAAGTTAAAGAAAATAAATAATATCAATAATTAAAAAAATTAATATCAAATAAAAAAAATTGTTTAAAAGTTTTTTAGTATAATAGTTATTGATCTCTAGGTGCTGTATGCAATTAGTCCTATTTTTTTGATTAGCTTCTAGATGCTGGATGTGATTTGATCCCACTATTGGTCCTATTATTATGGTTGTGTTGATTGTTTGTTGGATTATGGGGAAAATTGTTTTAATTCATTTTTCATTGAGGTTTCTCTGTTTCGACTTACTGATATAAATTATGTCATGATCAATCATTATCCTGAATTCTATCAATCGGTAGAATTCAGGATTACTATTAAAAATTGATTTTTACATGTGTATGGTGTGTGATAAAGTGTTTTTTATTTTGGTTTTATCTTTTGTAGCCATATCACTTTTTTTCACACACACACACACACACACACACACACAGATATATATATATATATATATATATATATATATATATATATATATATATATATATATATATATATATATATATATATATATATATATATATATATATATATATATATATATATATATGAATATATATATTTATATTTGTATGCATGTATAAATTTTTTCAAATCAAATATTTTGAAAACAAATGTGGTTATTGTTGTATCGTTGGTGGGTTGAAACTTTTTATTAAAATGTAAAACCACCTAAAGAGTTTTGAATCAAAAAATGCAAAGTTCAGAATTGTATTTTTAGAAAAGTTAACTTATTTTATCAATAAGGCTGTAAATAAAATTTATAAAAACATCGCTTTTGTTTTCAAGTCAACAAAATGTTTATTGTAAAATTATAACATGCAGATTTTTTTTTTAAAGTAAAAATTCTGATTTTAATTACGTGCATCTATTTTTGAAATTAGAATAATTGATACTATATCATGTAATCAGGCCTTCAGTTTTTAAATATAGAAATTTCCGATACTAATTAAATATAAAGATTGAATCTAGCTTCTAGAATACCATTGGTTAAACTTTTACAACAATCTTGGCTTCATCACCCAATTTAGTTTTACATAGTTATAAAACTTAACTATTCAGTTAGCGATTTCTCAGTATTTAATCAGTAGTTTAACGTTAAAGTAACCAAAATAAGAATAAAAATGCATTTTGAAAAACATGGTGTGGTTTAAATGCGCTGTAGAGCAATTGAACCAACGATGTGATGTTGCAACTATAAATCAATTGTATTAGCGATACCCTCAGGTATGAGGTACTATTAAAAGTGACAGTGAACCATTATTGATCGATTGCAGCTTTAATTATAACTTTATTTGTATCCTTAAAGCTGAATGTGTATTATCCATAAAAAACGTACAGAAGCGCTGTTAAATCGATGCTCAAGCATTTCTAGTCAAGTGTTTAGTGACGTTGTAATATACGAATAATTGATTGCACCTTGGGCTAGCTACCAAATTTTTAAATAAGTCACAAACTATGAAACGATAAACTGTATTTTATAATAAATCCTATAGGTTTTCCAATTTTCGTCAGACAAACAGTTTAAACCTTTTTTTGCTATTAGTACCTAAAGCTATTTGCTTTGCCCAAAGTAACCTCAAACCAACACACTTAGAAGGATCAAAGCATTTAAGCAAATGTAATGAATCTGATGAGGCGTGTACCAAAGGAAATTGATTTTAAAGAAAACAGAGCCAGTGATAGAACCATAAAGAAATAATGAATAAAGAAGAGCTTTTGTCTTCAAGGATGAATTGATGATTCAAGGTTAAAAAGAAACGATTTGATTATCTTAAAGACTTTGCTAGATACACCATATGAAACAAGCTTATGGAGAAGACCAGCATACCAAACTTTGTCAAAAGCTTTAGAAATGTCAAGAGCAATAGCCCTAGCCTCCCCGCCTTCATCTAATGCACGATATAATCTTTGAGTCACAGCAGTTAGCAAGTCAGTCTTAGTGCGAGAGGATTGAAAACCGTATTGATAACGTGACAGTAAGTTATTTGGCTCAAGGTGGGGTGTGAGAAATTTTTTTTATCAAAGATTCAATGTGTATCAAAAACTCTACTATCTTATACATTCATCAACAGGTTTTAAATTTCAATCAAAAAGATTGTAAATATTGCAAATTTCCGGCCCCTTGCTTCTCCTCGCCCCTCTCTCCTCCCAAAAAATACATGAATTAGGGGGTTGTGAAAACTTCAAACTTAAGTATGTTCATAGGCATGAACATACTTAAATTGGGATAAAACTTAAAACTTAATTTGGGATAAAACTTAAAATTTGAACATACTTAAACTTGAATTTGCACAGTGGGTGAAAGTGTCTTGTCTTAAACCTTAAAAAGCAAAATTTCTACGGGCGCCCGATGCTAAGCTATAATGTTTCCTAGCTAATGGTTTTGGTCTTGATTTAACGTCTTTGTCAGCAAGCAGTCTTTTTTTAGTTGACTCATTTAGTTTTATATAAAAGGTTATTCGTATCAAATCCATATTGAGTTCTTGCAGTTACCAACTAAAATCCAATTATTTTTGGAGAGCATCACACACTAATCCTAAATCAATTAAAAACTTTGTAAATGCAATTTTTATTTTTAAAATCTTTCGAAAATGTATTTATTGTTTTGTGTCTTGTAGGATTATTGCTTCACCAACGCATCATAATTTTTATACTGCAAAAAACTGAGCGGAAACTGTATGTCATTATTGTGTATTAGTAAATCCGGACTTAAAGATAATCTACTGTTTTTTTTTGAGAGACAGATGATATACAACGTAAAGTTTATCAAAAAATGATCCAAATATATTGACTCCTTAACTTACTGTTTTTACCAAAAAAGCTCAACCCTAATTAAGTGTCGCTTCACTTACGGTTAAGAAAACATAATATTTAGTGTGAAGTCACGCTTATATTTCGATCAACACGTGTTCTGTATTAGGTGATTCGCATCGTAGTATTATATCCACCAAGTTTCAAATTTACGATTTTAACAGTTTTTCCTTATCAAAAATATTTATACCAATGATCAAAAAAATTTTTTCTAGAATAAATACATTTTTTATTTTCAATTTCATCTTTTGTTTGATTTAAAATAGGTATGTTACATAAGATTTTTAGATTGATGAAGTACTAGGTTGTTATAATATAATATATAACTTTATATATCATTTTAAAGGGTTTCAAAACAGTATTTCAGTGGTAAGAATATCAAAATTTTAAGACATTACAAAAAGTTATGAAATTTTAAGTAGCAATTTTTGATAACAAGAGCTTGTTGAAAAAAACTGTAGTCGAATTTTGAGTATTTTTAACTTCAATTGTAGCATATTATTGTAAAATCTTATATTGTATTTTAAAATCTTATATTGTATTTTAAATAAGTTAGGCGCGTTTGTTAAAGTTTCAAGTTTTTAACTTTTAAAAATATGTTATTGGAAAAATTATCAACATGTACTGATATCAGTATTTTAAAGAGGACAGTAGTATTTTAATCTAGGGTGTTATTGGATGAGGTGAAGTTGCTTCATCATTGACATATCGATAAAGTTTTTTATCTCAAACAATTTACTTATTGTGTATTGTGTATTGATATATAGCTATTGTTGAACCATTTGATTTTGAACTATTAGATGTTGAAGAGATATGTGAAGAATTAAGAAGAAGGGGGAAAAAACATTCACTTAAATTACTTCTCTATTTACTTCTCTAAAAATTACCTCTATTGAATTTCTTTTATGAATATTGATATTTATAAGTTATAAATATAATAGGTTTTTTAATATTAATGCATGTTTGGTTAATGAAAGTTTAACATCTTTTAAAGATTAATTAACTAATTTCACATAATTTTGTGTCAAAGCCTGTGGTACTAAATAAGGTGAAATTAGTTAAATGCTAAAATTAGTAAAATTTAAAAAAGTTTTTCTAAATAAACTCTAGGATTGTCACAATTCTTCGAATAATTTGTTTACGATGAAATTGCTAATAAAATTGCAAATTTCACAAAATTCAGACATTGGTACATTTTGTAGTTTCTAATCACTGCCAATCACATATTGCCAATTCTTTTTTTTTTTTTTTGAAACTTTAATGATTTGTATTTATAAAAGTCCATTCTATTGTCAGAGTGCCAGCCCTCTTAGGCTGGCACTCTGAAACATAAATTACATCCTGTTGTAAATTTCAATTTTTATTAGATATCTTATTAACACTGTTATTAAAGTTGATTTATGTTTAAGGATCTATGTTAAGATATTACCTTTATAAGCAAGCTTGCTAAAATTAATCTTTAAAAAAACACTATTGTATCAATTTTTTTACCCTTAATTTTTTAATTAATATTAACTGTTAGTATAGACATACTATTATTATTTCTTTTGTTTTAATTAAGTTTTCTTATGACAGATCTACAATACTAGAGATCAGTTACTTTCCTAGCTTCACATATATTTCTGTTGTTATTTAAATATAATATAGTAATAATTATAAATAATAATTAAAATAATAATAGTAACAACAATAATGATAAAAATACAATTTAAACATAAATAGTTCTATGTTTTAAGTGTTCAATAAAGTTATGAAATCTTTTTTATTTAGAAAAATAAACATATAAGTATATATTAGTTAGATAATTTGTTGAGCTATGGGAAGATCTTCTAAAAAGGTTTGTTTTGCTTTTATACATGAGTATATGTTATTATCATAAATATAAATGTATATTTCAGCATGATAAATATACTTTGTCAAGTTTTTTAATTATAGAAAAAAAAAAATTTATCTATTTAGAAAAAAAAGACAGTTAAACCTGCTGGAGAAATAACTGATAACTCCATTCCACGCTCCTTTGTATTTAATCGTGGTGAAGTAGGGGTTACTCTTCAAAAATTGATTAAAGATATTAGGCGCTTAATGGAGCCATATACTGCGACTAATCTTAAGGTAGTTAAGTTTATATATTTGTCAATATGAAAAAATTGTTTGATTCATGAAAGTTTTGTCTTAAAATCTATTCTGATATATTAAAAAAACATATGTGTTTTTTCTATTTTTTGTAACTATCGTATAATTTTGTAAAAGTTTTCTCACCTTGAATATTTATTATAATTTTAAGTGCACCTATTTTGGTTGTCAAGTCGAAACCAACACACAAGCAGGGTAAAATAGTGCATATTGATAGTGAAACTTTTAGACATTGACCTCAAAATTTTTTAACAGGCTATAATCTGGTGCATTCTATTGACCTCCTTTTAAAAAATCAAACCTTAAAATAACAGTTATGTTTCAAATTCAAAAAAGTTTCAAGATTTTTAGAGTGCATTCAAAAGTTTTTGTATGCTTCACAGGAGAAACATTAAACTTTTGACATCATCAGCATTACAAAAAAAGGCGTTCTATATGAAAAATCTTCACACAAAAATATCTAAAATATTTTGACGTTAGGAAATCACAGTAAATCCATAAGCAAACGAATTGTGCTGGAAAAGAGGTGAGATTCTGATAGTCAAAACTGTAATTACCAAGAAGGGTGAATTCTTATTATTTGCCAGTTTGGTTTTTAATCTGCCAGTTGTTTGATGGCTAATACTTGTTTGCAGCTATATAAAAAGATGTACAAATGAAGTAGAACTTAAATGAACCTAACATGAGTCAGTACATTTTTGAATGACATTAAAGCGGCAGTTAAAGAGTTTTCATGCAAGAGTGTATATAGTTGGTTGAAATCTGAGTTAACTCATGATAAACCAGTGAAATGTACTAGGCTGTATGAATTTTTTTTTATTATTATTATTATTTTTTTCTAATGGTTGTATAATCATTAGAGACAATTTTGTTACTGTATTTACCTCCCTAAGGCCAAAGGAGCAACTACAGTCAAGAAAGCTACTCATTTTTTAACCACATTAACCCTTTCACACTTTCAACCCTTTAACCACAAAATATGATATGAGAACAATTAACAGTCTTGGAAAACAAGACTGCTACATAAAAGAGAAAGTCCTCTACCATTATACCATTACTGCATAATATAGATTTTAGAGCTTCAGATTATTTGGTCAATAACAGTGAAGAACCAAGAGGTGTTTTAGTACCGTTTTACCAGTATGGGCGCCCAAAAATTATTTTTATTTTTAATTTTTCTTTTGATTTTTTATGAAAAATAGAAAAAAAATTAATTTTAAATGCAGTAGTATATAAATAATTCTCAGTTTAATTTAGTTACCTCATATTTTCTTCAGGAAAAATTTAGGTAGCTACTTTTTTACATAAGTATGTGACATAATTTGCCTTCGAATATTAATTGGACATTATAAGTATTAATTGAATATTAATTGGACTTAATTTTGAAACCCACGTCAGAAAATTTTATAACAATGGAATGTATAAAAAATTTGCTTTTTAGAAAGTCAAAGCGTTTTTAAATATCCATTCAGCGTAAGGTTAATTTTTGTTTTTGGCAATTAAGAGAAACTGCTTTTGATAATAAATGAACAAAAGTAAAAAAGTCCTTGTAACTATCATGCAAGTTTAATTTTTAAATGAATGAACTTTTTATCTTTAGCTTGCTATTTTAGTTTACGCGAGGAAAACAAAAACAAAGTATAAACTTTTTCAGACAGTTTTTTTTTCTTTCAATATTTTTTTAAAAATAACTTTTTTAATAACTTTATAAAGGTTTTACTTAGATCTGTTTAAAATAACCCATAGTAAATGTAATTTATTTATTTAAATATAATTTTTAAAATTATTCTTAATAATTAAAAATATATATTTTTTTAAATATATGTTTTTAAAAATACAATATGGTTTTTAATAAAAATAATAGAATATTTTTTAAATTATGTTTACTGTAATTATCTCTTTAATTATCTTTAATTTAAAAGGCACCTTAAAATCACTTTAAAAATTATAGTAAACCTATAGTAAAAGTTAAATGAACAGATTTACTAATATTTAAATCAAAATTTTAAATTTAAAATAATAGAAACAAAGTTTATTAAATGCTTATGTTTTTATTCGAATAGTTTATTAAATAGGTTTATTAAATGCTTATTGAATTTGTTTATTAAATGCTTATGTTTTTAATTCAAATACAAGAAATAAAACTATTTTGTTAATTTTACAAATATTACACGATATCATATATGTAAATATATTATGTAATGTAAATATTGATTATAAATTGTTTAAAATATTTTTAATTATTATTTTAAATTAAATTTATTAAAATATAGTTAATAACTGTTTAAAATACTTTAAACAATTTTCAATAATTATTTACTGATAGCGTGGTAATTACAACAAAAGCATTTATTAAGATCTTAAGTAAAATAGTTTTCTTTTAGCTAAAGCAACATCGTCCACCAGTAAATTCATGTATTCAAAAATTGCATTTAAATCAACACCTTGTTATAGGATAAAACTGATCAAGATAAACATAAATGATTATTAAGAAAGTGGTGATTAAAAATTGTTGCGGCACCCGTTTAACTAGGGGGAATGAGGGGAGGGGCAATCAAAAACTTAATCTCTCCTCTCAACGTTGCTGAAAAAAAAATGGTATCTCCAAATAAACTCTGGGTTCTTCACTGAATAATCTGATAGGAACAATTTGTTTTATAACAGTTTTATGGTGTCTTCGTTCAATTTGAGAACAATAACAATTACTAGAACAATAACTAAAAGCTTTTTCAATAAAAATTTATGCAAGCCATAGCATCAAAATAGGGGATAGAATTTAACTTTTAACCATTGAAAAACTTTTTTAAATTAGAATTATTGGATTTTGAATTAAATAAATGAAAGAGCATAATGCAGAATACCCATGCCTGTATTCTTAATCAACAAAGTCTCATCAAAACACGGTACACTTTTTAAAACTTTTAATCAACAGCATAAATGTGTTTAAATAAAAATAATCTTAAACTAATGCACATGTTCAAAACAAAAATGTATTGACAAAATCAGCCATAGAGTTGAGTTTAGACTAAAGATACTTTTTAGAAAGTTACTTTTTTTATAGCTTTTGATGGGGCGTAAGATTAAACAACAGGGAAAACTATTATAAAAGAAAAGTTAAATTTTTGCAAATTGAAGTTTAATAGCAAAAGCAATAAAATTAAAATGAAAGAAAACATCAAAACATTTTGACCAAAGTCAAATATATATATATATATATATATATATATATATATATATATATATATATATATATATATATATATATATATATATATATATATATATATATATATATATATATATATATATATATATATATAAAGAGAGAGAGAGCTCTCTCTCTAGAGAGATGCAATAAAAAAGGAGCGTTTTTTTTTTTACTCTTTTTTTTTGTGTGTTTTTGCTTTTTTTTGCTTTAAGCGAAAACACACAAAAACCGTGGTAGTTAAATATAAGTTTTTTCTTCTGCTTACATTTTTATAACTATAATTTACATGTGACTAAACTCTATAAACTTTAAACTTTCTCATTTTAAATAATCATAAAATTGCAGTAAAAATGTAAGTTTACAGTTTTAAATTAAAAAAATAAAAGTTTTTAAAAATGTAATAACGTTATAATAATCATGCCAAAAAAGTAAGAGAAGAATAGAGTTGCATTGTTCTTATTTTTCCATAGGAAAATGCATTGAAAATTTTAATTTTCATTACTTCATTATAAATTATTGATATAATTGTATTGTTTATTGAATGTTATAATTATAATATTTGTCTCGCAAGTACTTGCATTAAAAGGTACTCATGGGAGAAGCAATAAGGAAATAAATTTGATTTTTTATTGTTTATATTAGTTAGCGAATAAGGCATATAAATGAAAATTAGCAGCAAGTCGATGTTGACGTTAGGCCGGGTGAATAAAAATGAGCAATTGCTTTTACTCAGTAATTGGTCAGCTTTACATGAATAAAAACTTCAGCAGTTTTGCTCAAATTTTTAATCATGTAAAGTTAAGCAAATTACTCAGTATTTGCTCAGCTTTATGTGAATAAAAACTTAAGCTATATTGCTTTACATGACTTTTTTTACTTTTAAAAGACATTTCCAAAACCAAATGTTGCAATACTTACTGTTATGTTACAATCATTACAAGTGTTGTGGAGTAAAAGAAGAGCAAATTATTTAAAAAAAATTGTTTTAAATGATACATTATCACACATAAAAATATTTTCAAAGGTTTCATTTAAAAAAAAAAAGAATAAGTCTCTCTTTTGATTTTTAATTTAGTTTCAATTAGGGCTGTACCGGATTTAATTTTTTCCAAATCCAGCCGGGGCCGTATTAGCCTGATTTTTACCAACAAATCCAGCCGAATCTGGAGCCGGATTTTGAAACAGGAGCTGAAATCCGGAACATCTTTACATGACATTGATAATGGTCAACAATGTTGATCATTCTCAATACCAAGAGACAACTATTTTTTGTTAAACTTTTTTGTTGTTATTAAAATAGGACACAATTTTTCACATAACATAACATAATATAACACAATAATTAATAAACGATTGAAACTTTAAATTTAAAAGTCAAGTAAAGTAACTTCAGTTTCAGTTATTTTTCTAAATTGTCTTTAATCAGTTTTGAATTGTAATTTAGAAATATTAGGCGAGCTGCATTATGCGGCAGTAGTGAATTACGGTGATCATTGAGGACCTTCCCAGCAACACTGAACACACATTCTGATGGTACACCAGGCCTTGCGATAAAGCATCGGGCGATGTGAATTTTATGTTGTCCAAGAGCGATTTTGCGTGTAGCTAGGGCTATTTGCGTCGAGCAAAAAAATTTTTGTTTGAGTATATTTAAAGATATTTTTGAGCGGAATTTTAATGAAGTAATTTACGATTGTTTTAATATTTAATAAAGTATTTTAAAAACTGAACGCAGTTGATATAAAAGTTTGAATTACAAAAAAATTAAATA